AGAGTTCTTCAAATCTTCTAGCCAGACTCAGATGTCTTTCCCTTCTTCATATAAAGAATTAGGTAAGGGTAACCCATTGTCAGGCAGGTTGCTGCAGCAGCAGAGTACAATCATATGTACTATATCTGGGATGAGGAATGTGGGATCTTTTAGACCAGGGGTTGGCAACCTTTGTTGCCGGGGGGGAAATGGTGCGGGGGCCAGACGTGCGGGCATGCGTTTGTGCAGGCGTGAGCACATGCACACGACACCCGCCGTCGTGCACATGCGTGTGTGATGCAGGGGAGGAGCATTTTGGAAGGCCCCACTGTGGCTGCGGGCCAGGGGTTGCCAACCCCTGTTTTAGACTATCCATTAGGATAGTCAGTGGTGAGGAATGATAAGAGGTATGGTTCAGCAACTTCTAGAAGACCACATATTCTCCATCCTTGCTAAGACAGCTTTCCACTTTGTGTTCTAGATACAGACCTTTCAACGTCCAAATCATGAGGAGACAAAGCAACCATGTACTCATTTGTTCTCCAGTGTTATCCTCACATATATTTTCTTATATATTTAGGGTACCCCTAGATGCCTCTTCCTTCCTGTAACTCTCCAGATTTGACAAACAGGAGGTGAGTGCAGTTGGTCAGAAAAGATGCAGCAGGGATGCCGTTAGGACAGGAATTTTGAACAGAAGTCCAGACCTCAGCATACTTGGCTTGCCCCATAGCATTAGCTTATAAGAGTATCCTTATAAGACCTCTAACTCCATAATCTAAAACAACTTTACTGTACTACTGATATCCATAAGTTAACATGCAATTATGGCACATTTGGGATGTTCTGTACTTGGAGGTTTAAAGAACCATTCCCAGTGTCCAGGATAAAAAAGCTCTTCTCCCACATTCCCCGCTCTCCTGGATAAGAAAGACATATCAGAATTCTCCTCAAATATTCTTCACTTCTTTTAGGTGTTGTCTTATACTTTCTCACTACAATGCTCCAGAACACAATTAGTTTACAGGTATTACAGAATACAGTGGCCAGTAGCAGTTTTATGTGAAAGGTGCACTGTACTGTTTTACTTATGCTATTTGATCTAACCATTAAAATATACAAATAACCACCTTATTCTGTAGTCATCAAGTAGTGGACATGCTCGTGGGAAATAGCATCACCATATGAGATCTAGAATTCTAGAATTGAAGAATCATAATATTGGATCGGTAATCTAGCCCATCCCGCTGCCATGAAGGCATATACTCCTGAAAATTGGCCATCCAAACTCCATTTAAAGATCACCAAAGAGCAAAAGTTCACCATTCTCCAAGCAGTCTATACTACAGTACTGTCCAAGCAGTCTATACTACAGCTGTTGCAATCAGGACATTAATCTTCATGTTGGAAGCTCTTTGTTTGTAATTTGAGTTCATGGATTCATGTTCTAATATCTGGAGCACCAGAAAGCAAGTATGAAGGTCAAAGAAATGAAACAGCATTTCCCAATCCAGTACGAATTAAATTTGCTGAACAAGACTACAGCTCTCACCATGCCCATCCAGTGTAGCCATGAACTAGTGGATGAGTTGTGCCATTTTGGCTGCATAAATAACAGTAACCAAATAATTATCCTAGACCTAGAATATACAAAGGCAGCCCTGGAATAAATTCTGCAAACCAGAGTGTTTCTGTCCATCATTAATAGACACACATTTTCCCCCTTTTTTCTGGAACATGGTTGGGTTGGAGACTCTTATGCCTAGTTTCAGCTAATCTTGGAAATTTTATTCATCCATTTTATATGGAAAATTGTCACTGTTACATCCCTGGGATGATTCTGAAATAGCTTCTCAGAGTGAGCCAGGAATTCAGTGAGACAGATTTGCCTACCCTTTTTATATCTATATGTCTCTTCTTCTGACCTCCTTGTCCATCCATTTCATTCCATTCATTCTCCTATTTAACTTTCAGTATTTCTTCCAATTTGTTAATACCCTCTGCCACTGAATTTAAGTGAGCCGCTTGGGGGACCCTCACATTTTTTTCTTCTGTACTGTTTTGTCCTGTTCCTATTTAGGCATCCCTTTTGTGTGAGGGTATCTTTTGGCTAAATTCACACAACCACACTTAAACTGCAAATAGGGATAGAAGGAATGGTGATGAAGTTGCTGATATTATTACTTGGTCTTGCAACAGAATCACAAGTGATGCCAACACTGAACTAACAGGATCAGTATGATAAAACTGAAATATTTATAATGAACTTGCATATGATTAGAATGATTGAGCAAGATTAATGTTCTCCTCACCCCAACACGAATTATCCACATTATGCAAAACTGTAGAATGAAGTGTGTTACTTATTTTAAGCACAAAGTATTTCTTCCCAAGTTAGACAATGCTTTAGTGATAACTATTAGTATATATAGTAACAAGGCACTTTACAGTTTACATCTGGGGCTCTGACCACTATGGCATATCCTTCCACTCTGTTTAATAACTGTAGAATTGGTGTTTTGCCAAATAACTATCTTTAAACTGAAAGGGAATGTTTTCTGAAGGGAGGTTGATTATTGCTATGTCTATCCACTGTAGGGTGTGCTACTTATCTCTTAGATTTTTCAACTTAGTACATATTATTCATTAGCAAGTATCTTCTATAACTCCCTGTGAAGGATCATGTTTATTTAATGCAAAAATTGTGTTTTAGTTATATTGTGGTCCTTCTTCCCTGGAAAGAACAGAACTTCAGTTTCAAGCAGGGCTTCCCAGATCTCAATCCTAGAACCTCTGACAATGCTATCTGCTCTTTAAAATATGGGGTAGCAGAAGTACTGGGGGAAAGAGAAGGAGGAGGAAGAAGAGAAGATAACATAGGCAGCATCCCCTTTTACCACTAGGTAAATGCAGCAAACACCTTCTAATGTAAGGAAGGCATTGCTCAATTAAGCATCTTTTACAAAGAAAGGTGAGAGAAGTAGAAGGGAAGGAGACCATATATATATATATATATATATATATATATATATATATATATATATATATATATATATATATATATATATATATATATATATATATTTGAAAAAGCAAAATATGCCTCTGGTGCCTCTGCCACCAGATTATTCCTATATTTTACATTATTATCAACTTTTGCCCTCAAAGACATTTAGATTTATGCACACGCCCCACTTTCCTATGCTTGTTCCTTATATTATAGTTTTTTAAAAAAATTATATTACATTCATGATAAATGTAACTTTGCTATTCATTTAGGAAAAGGGGAAATATGCTAGAATGATGCAGGTGTAGTATCCCTAGAAAAATTAAGATCTGTTGAAAATAAGGAAATGGGAAGGAAGGGAATTCCATGCAAGGGAATTCCATGCAAGGTGTTTAGTTAGACTCAATATACGGTATATAGTATACATCTATTTACTGAAAATAATTGCTAGTACTACTTATCTATAAAATGTATCCAGCTACAAAAAAGCTTCTTAAAATGATAAAATTATACTATATAATAAATGGGATATGCAGCTTCTTATATAAGATGAAGTTATGCTGGCTTTACTAATCATCCTCCAAAAGATATAGAAGAGACTAATGTAACACAGGAAAGCCTGAATCACCTCCAAGCAAGGGAAAAGATGTTGCCATTAAAGCTTTTCAATAGTCTCTTTTTAGATGCCTGGTAAGCTCTGTCAGAAAATGCTTGATGGGACATACAGTCAGACTGGAAATGTAAAGATGTATGGGGCAGACATTTCCTGTGGGAAGAGTTCAGAAAAACAAGGGTTTGGCAGACAAACAACGGGTGTGAGACAATAACAAAGGAGCCAGCTCTAGTGTGTTTTGAGAATAAGGGACACTGTAATCAAAACACACTACGTAGACATGTTATGTCACATAGACACGACAGCAATATGGGTTGGGCTGGAGGCCTGGGAAAGTGGAACCCAACAAATCATCGTGGATATACACACCCCAGTGGGTGTTAGCTTCAGCAAACAATAATAATGCTTTGTCCATATGGGAGGGTTAGAGAGAGGTAGGCTTGGAAGGTTCAAATGTGTTTCACAGGGTTAATGTGATGCAGGATCTGTTTATGTAAATATTCAACTTATGTAAATATTCCTAGTTGTAAAATAAAGGTAGTGTTCTTAGACTAGAACTGGTGTGTTTCCTGACTGCTGGTAAGGCTGGAGAGCTGACGCAGTATCATCTGGATCCAGAGGAAGATGTCTGGAATCAAGCAGGAAAAGATTGTCAGCTTTTCCCAACAACTCTGCTATTTGGTAACTGCAACACACATCATCCACCATTCACTGACAAGCCCATCATTGGACCAGGGTTGGTGCAGCACTTTTGATCCCTGACAGAAAGGGTAAATTTCACCACCCATGCTCACCATCCACCGAGCACTGCTGACAGAAATTGATAAGACTGGCAGCTGAATATTACTTCCTTATTGATGTCCTCTACACTTCACATCAGGGGAGCAAAAGCTACAGGACACAGTGAGCTCAAATTCACTCCCCATTCTCCATCATATGGTTTGCTGGTGTAGTTTTGCACAGGGATTCCATAGCACCTTGGAGTCTTCAAAACCAGAATTTCCGTTATTGTTTATTATGGTAACAAAACCAGGATTTCATACACTTTCTTCTAGTATCTAGAACAGTCTCCCCAATCCAGTGCCCACCAGGTGTATCAGTCTATACTAGTGATGGTGAACCTTTTAGGGACTGAGTGCACAAACTAAAAGGCCTTCCAGCACTGGGTGCTTCCAGAGGCAACTGAAGGACAGGGACAGCCAGAAAGGAGGAGGAACAAGTGCACGCCTTTTCCTCCTCCTCCCCACCCTCTGCATGCAACAAAAAAATGAATTAATGTGCCATCTCTGGCAAGCATGCCATAGGTTCGCCACTATGGGACTATACCTTTCATGATCCCCAACTATTGGTCTGGAGGTCAAGTGATTGTGCTGGAAGGTTTTGAAGAGCATTTTACTGAAAGTCAGCATAGCATAGTGGTTTGAGTGTTAGCCTATGACTCTCAAAACCAGGGTTTGATTCCCAGCTTGGCCATGAAATCCACTGAGTGACCTTGGGCAAATCACATGCTCTCAGCCTCAGGCAATGGCAAACATCTTCTGAACAAATATTGCCAAGAGAACACCATGGTAGGTTTGCCTAGGGTCTGCATAAGTCAGGGAAGACTTGAAGGCATATAATAACAACAGCAACAACAACAATGAAAGAATGCAACCTGAGGGAAGTTAGAGATGGGTTTGAATGAAAACAAACTTCCATAAAAGTCAGATATGTGGTTCAAAATTACTAAACCATTAAATTTAAAGCTTGCCATTTCTTTGAAAGTGAGCATGCAAAACAGTGGGCTGTGGCATCACTTTATTTTGTTCATCATTGCCCATTGTACAACAAGAATTTCAAAGTTTGTAGCTTTAATCTTGTGCAGAATTTCACTCTCCCTCTTTTCAGTCTGCCACTGAATCTGAGGTAAGCGGGACAATAATCTGTAGACAGCTATTAAGTAACATGACTCAATGTAGAAGTGTAACTATTATTGTTATTATTATTAGAACAAACTTTAAAGTTTCCTCTTTGGTACTGTGCATTAAAGGGTAACTAGTGCATGTTCAAGATTAAAAACAGAGAGGCCCACCTCTAGGGCATCCTACACCACAGGAAATGTTGTGTGGAAATGTGTATTTGGATTATAGCCTTGACATCCTAAGTAACTTTATTAATGAACAATCCCATTATATTAAGTTGCATTAATAGCCATAAACAAATTCATACACTGATACCCACTGGAAAGATAATATTTTCTTTCTCTGAGAACATATGCTGTTAACCATGGACCAGGGCCCTGAGTAATTTCAGAGTGAGTAATTTCCGAATGAGCAATTACGAATGACTAAAGTGCAATAGCTCCCTGAAGCATCATCACAATTTCTGCAGCGAGTGTTTAATTGTAGCCAGACTGTGTAACCTTAACGTGGCCTGTGTCCTTGCCATAACCCTAGGCACGAGCTCCACTCTCCAACATATGGGAAAATTTTTCAAGCTGATTGCTCCAATCTGATTAGGGGAAGTTATGTAGCTGCCATTTATTCAGCATCTTGTTACCACACTCCAACAGCTGCTTTGCAACATATTCCCATTAAAGTCATTTTCTGCTGGCTCTCATTCCAGCATGTCTGCTGAAGTCATTGTGACTGTACTGATTGTTTTTTGGGGAGTGCCAACAATGTTTGCATTACCAGGCTGGCAGAGAAAGAAAGAGAGGCAGGAAGGGGTGGGGGAGAAGGAAAGAGGGAAGCCGCCTGTACAAGCCAGGCACTGACTGGCCATCTAGTGATCAAGGACATTTTTATTTGTCCTTGATTTTTATTTATTTTCATTTTTATATGAGAATTTTTCTTACTTTCTGTTCAGCAGTTTTGTGAACCTCTGGAAAAAATCGCTGAGGTATGTAGGCTCAGTTCACAACTGCATGTTCAGGACTTCATGATTACTACAACATAAAATGATGACCTGCATGTGTGAATGGGACATTGTTCTTTCGATTTCCAGCATTTAAGCCATGAGCACCCTTGCTTAAATATCCAAAATACCACTAGCAATGTACAAAAAGGAATTATCACCAGTCTTAAGATAACTCCAAATTTTTAAAAAAGTTTAAAAAATAGGAACAAAAGAGAGGAAAAATAGGAGGAAAACCCACAAAACAGCCTAGTGAAGACAGAATGCTCACTGATTGTTGCTGGGAGGGGGGAAAGGGTGAAGATGATGGAAAGGAGCAATCTGAACAGAATTCTGAATAATAGCACTCCACACTGCAGTATTTTATAGAAAGAGCCATTTATTATAAATAGAGTTCCACAGAGAAATCATATATATTTATGTGCAGGAGTATGAGGTGGAGTCCTACCTTGTAGGGAGGTCTCTCTCTCTCTCTCTCTCTATATATATATATATATATATATATATATGTGTGTGTGTGTGTGTGTGTGTGTGTGTGTGTGCAGCTGCCTAATGACCTCCCCAATGCAATTATCCACATCTTGAACAGAACATGTAGAATAATTGACAAGTTACTTAGAGCCATCATATTGTGAGTTTCCATTTTTCTCTTACATGTTCGTATGTAAAAGGGTCCATGGAGCCATGGCCACACAATATGATGCTACTATCTATATCTAATGGGGGAAGAGTGATTCAGCATTGAGAGACAAGTTTTGCTGGTAACCCCATCAAACCTTAGTCCAGCCTGGGTGGTTCTCCAGTTCTAAATGCAGAATGTCCAGATGGGATTGTACCTAAAACATGCAAACAAAAGGTGTACAGTTTGTATGTCTCAGATATACCCAAAACACAGATTGACATCTGTTTCTAAATATATGTTTAGTTTAGCCTTTAGGACTAAACAAATTCTATCCCTTTACTCTTAAAATGTAATGTGGCTTTTCTGAGAAATAAATGCTCCATTAAATTCATTAGCTTCCTCCACTATCTTGGTTAAATTCAAGTGGTTCCTGACTCAGTGGCCTGAAATAGATGGACCAAATAAAGTGGCTTCCATCCACTTTGGATGCATGGAATTTACATGACACATGCAGCTGAAGTGTCTGGAAGTTGCACCGAGGCTTACTCTGTCCTGTCAACATAACACAGGGCACTCTGACTTCCTGATTCTTCTGTACACTGATTTTTCTGTGAGAATATAGAGCATATCCCAAGTTATTTCTGGCTTCTTCCATAAATTTCTGGGTTTCCCTTCTGTTGTGGCTTTAAAAATGATCATTGGACCAATGGATCTTTTCCCCCCTGTGTTTTATGTTCAGCAACTGGGCCCTGAGCTGAGGTCAAAGGAAGTTCTGCAAGTCAATATCTTTTTGTTTTGTCTTAGTTGTACTAATACAGAGACACACTGGGGAGGAAAAATGATTAGAGAAGCCTGTGGTGTTATGCCTATAGAACCACAATGCCATATGAATATTGTTTGTGGGAAAACTTAGCACACCGCACTCGCAACATAACCACCTTGATCTTTCTTTTTTAAAAAATGTAACAGGAACAGCTGAAGAGATAACATGGCCAGTTTTCTTTATAGAGCTAAAACTGTCTAGCCAACAGAGCCATGCTCCCGGGGAACTAGAAGCCTTTCTATCAAAGTCATATTTTCCAAATTAGCAGAACAACTTGCATTCCACAGTGGTGGTGCCTCTATTCATAGGACCATAACAAAGCAACTTGACCCAATACTTTTTTAACTAGTAAGGAATATCCCTCTTTCCACTCATTCATGCATTCCACACTGTCCTATTCATGCATGTTGGGAAATAAACATTTTTAAAACAACCAGATGAGCTTTAGTGTATCTCTATTTCTGGCTTATGTACTCCAGAAAAGCAGGGGAAAGTCTGAAATATGGTTGGCCTATAAATCAGTGAAGCTGCCTTCTGGAATTTTCAGCTCAATTTTATTAAAAGTGAAAATGGGAAAACTGAGCAGAAGAATGTTCCTTATCCTCCACAGCAAAAGAAAGCTGAGGAAAGAAAACAGGCATACTCAGTTATCAAAATGTCTGACAAAAGAAGTTCCTTTTTACAAAGTCTTTTTGTGCCCATAGATCTCTTCCTATTCCTATTTGTCCATTTTCAATGATAAAGGAAACCCATCAATGACCTGGCAAGTGCACATGTCCCCAAGTGCTAAATGACACCTCCAGTTCAGTTGCATGATCACAATCTGATAGATTGTTCCCTGACATCAATACCAGGAAAGGTTCTAGAGCAGATCATTAAACTGGTCTGTAAACCATTAAAAGGTCTGTAAACCTTACAAAGGAATGCCATGATTACTAAAATCCAGCATAAGTTTCTCAAACACAAGTCATACCAAACTAATCTTTTTTTATGGAGTTACATGCTTGGTAGATGAATGGAATGCAGTTTTACACTTACAGTAAAATCCAGGTGGGCTCTGTTTTCCAGATCCACAGCAACCCTAAACTTGTCTACACTATTACTATGGACATAGAAGCTACATGGCAAATTTGGCTTAAGCAACCACATATTCCTTCATTCTGATGTCACTTCACAGTAAAATAGCAGAACACAAGTGAGTTTCCCTGAATCATTTTCAGCTACACATCCATGGCCACTCCACTTTATTTCTGCCCAGCATCCATCAAGCATATGAACATATGCATTTCCACCCTGGCACAGGATACTCTTTTGCCTCCTCTTTTTTTTTTAAATAATGAGGGGACTGCCCCTTATCCATCACTGACAAGCAGTTAAATAAAAAATATCTACCAAGCAGATATACAGTTACATGCACAAATGCAACACCCTTTAAAATGGCAAATGAGCCACTTGAACCTCCCAGAGTCTCTTGACAATTGTTAATTCCTGGCTGGAATGATCCTGTTCCCCTGCCTTCCCCACCCCTCCCAGCACAAATTCCTCCATTTGCTGACAATGCAAATCCACTGGTCACACATCCACACATTTAAATTTTCCAGGAGATTCCTGGTAAAAATCAAGAATATTTTTTTTTCTGTGAATTTATCAGAATGCTATGCGGTTGGATCTCCACCAATTCAAGGTAAGTGAGGAGATTTTTAATAGTGTACAAGGTTCCTTATGATATTATTGCCAATATGCTAGTAAAATGTGGGCTAGACAATGCTATTGTTAGGTGGATTTGTAATTGGTTGACCAACTGAACCCAAAGGGTGCTCACCGATTGCTTTTCTTTATCCTGGAGAGATGTGACCAGTGGGGTGCCATCGGGTTCTGTCCTGGGCCCAGTGCTATCCCACATATTTATAAGTGACTTGGATGATGGAATTGAGGGATGATCAAATTTGCAGATGACACCAAATTTGGAAGAATACCCAATATCCCAGATGACAAGACCAGAATGAAAAATGACCTTAACAAATTGGAGAGTTGGGCCAAAACTAACAAAATGAATTTCAACAGCAAGAAATGTAAGGTGTTACAATTAGGGAGAAAAAGTGAAACTACAAATACAGGATAGGTGACACCTGT